AAAAAAAAAAAAAAGAATGAAGTAGGGATACATGCAGTACATCAACAAGATGAAGACAGCCAAAGACTACGGCTTCAAGCAGGAGTATGAGGTACAGGCTAGCTCCAGCAGGACCCCTGCAGGGGTCTCACCTGGCTCTTCCTCTCTGTGGACCTTGACCCTGGTCTGACCTCAACCTGACCCTAATCACCAACCTAATTCACTTTGACCTTGACCCTGCTCCAAGCAACAATCTATTCAGTAGTACATTAAGAGGCCAGTCACAAAGGCCATGTATTGTATGATCCTTTTCATACGAATGTCCAGAATAAGCAAATCCACAGAAATAGAAAGTAGACTCATGGTTGCCAGGAGCTAGGGGTGCTGGGGAAGGGAAAAGGGAGTGACTACTAAAGAGTACTGGATTTCTTTCCAGGGTGACAAAACTGTTCTGGGAATTAGATAGTGGTGACAGTTGCACAATCTTGTGAGTATTCTAAAAACCACTGAATAGGTCAGGTGTGGTGGCTGACTCCTATAATCCCAGCACTTCGGGAGGCCGAGGCAAGTAAATCACCTGAGGTCAGGGGTTCAAAAGTGGCCTGGCCAACATGTTGATTCCCTGTCTCTACTAAAAACACAAAAATTAGCAGGACCTGGTGGGTACATGCCTGTAATCCCAGCTACTTGGGAGGCTGAGACAGGAGAATTGGCTTGAACCTGGGAGGCAGAGGTTGCAGTAAGCCAAGATTGCACCACCACACTCCAGCCTGGGTCACATCTCAAAAAAAAATAAAATGGGCCAGGCACAGTGGCTCACACCTGTAATCCCAGCACTTTGGGAGGCCAAGGCAGGTGGATCACTAGGTGGGGAGTTCAAGACCATCCTGGCTAAGATGGTGAAAGTCCGTCTCTACTAAAACCACAAAAATTAGCTGGGCATGGTGGCAGGCATCTGTAATCCCAGCTACTCAGGAGGCTGAGGCAGAGAACTGCTTGAACCTGGGAGCTGGAGGTTGCAGTGAGCCACGATTGTGGCACTGCACTCCAGCCTGGGTGACAAAGTGAAGAAAGAAAGAAAGAAAGAGAGAAGGAGGAAAGAAGAAAGAAAGAAAGATGAAAGAAAGAAAGAAAAGAAAGAATGAAAGAAAGAAAAAGAAAGAAAGAAAGAAAGAGGAAAGAAAGAAAAAGAGAGGAAGAAAGGAAACAGGGAATGACAAAAGGGGTGAAGGGAGGAAGAGGAAAGGAGGGAGGGAATGGAAAGGAAAGAAAAAGAAAAACCACTTAATTGCACACTGTAACATGGTAACTTTTACAAGTGTGAATTATATCGCAATTCTTTAAAATCCCAGTTGAGGAATATTCCTTCAAAATATCTGACCAGTAATCCTCACAACTGTCAAGTTCAATAAAATAAGAAAAGTCTGAGAAACTGACACAGTCAAGAAAAGACAAGAGGACTCAATGTAAATATGCTATCCTATCCTCCATGGGATCCTAGAACAGAAAAGAGATACTAGGCTAAAACTAAGGAAATCTGAATCAAGTGCAGACTTTAGTTAATAAGGTATCCATACTGGTTCATTATTTGTGACAAATGTACCGTACTCGGGTAAGAAGATAATAGAGGAAACAGGGTTTGGGGGTTATGGGGACTCACGTTGCACTATGTTTGCAACTTTTCTGTAAATCTAAACCTATTATAAATAAACAGTGTACTTATTTTAAAAGAAATCAATTTGTCATGTCAGGCAAACAGCAGCAGGCTGGTGTGAGGAGCTTGCTGGGAATTCACAAGCTATTGGAATTCAGCCCCAACTAACTCCAAAGCATGGTCTGGAAAACCCCCAGATCCCCCAGCCCCATCCATCCTGAGCTCTTGATCCTGGTGGGGTCCAGTGGATTCCACCCAAATGGTTTGCCAGGTAAGTGCCAGTTTATTTCATCAATGCAAATACTCTTTTAACAGGGGAAACACAGGAGCCTAGGGGATAACAAGGTCTGAGGGTCAGGTGAACCTTGGCATGAATCCTGAGGCTGCCTCTTTCATGCTGTGTGATCAGAGAAAGGCCATGCTCCCAGGTTCAGAGCACATGGGGCCAAGAGCAGCAGTGTCACCTGTAGTCCTACACTGCCAGCTACATTCACAGAGCATCATCCGTTGTCCTCAGACTCAGCCAGGAAGCTGCCTGGCTTTGGCTCTGTCCTCCCGACATTATGCTGACCAGGTGGTGCTATCTGCTCATCCTCAGCCACTGGGAGCTTACCTCGTGCCACTTTCTAATCCCCCAAGGGCACCAGCCCTTCCCGGAGCCCTCTCCCACCTCCTCCTTCCCCAAAGAGCTCTCTGCTGAGCTCTCTGCACAGACAAACCCTTTGTCCCCCACTCCCCTCTCCTGAGCTCCTAAGAGTTCTTTGAGCAGGAGAAAATTCTCTATCTGGAGATGGAAACACGTGTTTTATGTGCTGAGTGCAGCTTCTCCCTAGAATCCTCTCTCCAGTGCCACCTTCCAAGTCCCAGACCAAATTCTCAAACTAAAGGAGAATAAAGACAGATCCTGCTCTACTGTGTTTTCCACTGTCTGGAATGACAGAGAATTGTTATTAGTCATTGCTATTTTACAGACAATTCTAGTAATAATCATCCCAACACAACAGCTACTAGCTGTGGGCATTCACCACATGCCAACAGTGGACTGGGTGCTTTTCATGCATCATCTCATAGAATGCTCTCAATAATCATGATACCTCTGTTGGATAGTAATACCTTTATCCTCAGTTAGCATACAGGAAAACTGAGGTTCACAAAGGGCCAGTAACCTTGCAAGGACACACAGCCAGTAAGTGGCAGAACTGGGATTCAATGCAAGCAGATCTTTTTATATTTTTCCTTAGAGACAGATCTCTATGTTTCCCAGGCTGGAGTGTGGTGGCCCTTCACAGGTGCAATCCTAGCTCACTGCAGCCAGCAGCTTCTGGGCTCAAGCAATCCTCACACCTTGGCCTCCCAAGTAGCTGGGACTACAGGCACGTGCCACACACCCAGCCCAAATGTGTCTTCATCCAGAGTGCTTGATCTTAAGCAGCATATCATACTCTTTCTCTAAAGATGTTTTGTGAAACAAACAAACAAAACATTGTGATAAAATAAATTTCAGGAGTGTCGCCCTTTTTATTCTCTTCATGGAGGTTCACCAGGGGCATTAGTGTCTTGGAAGTCCTGAGTCATTCTTCAGGGATCAGACCTATTTAATCTTGTTTAAACCAAAGTTTTAACAAATTTAAGTGTTAAAAATGATCATTTATTTTTTCTGTTTACTTGTAAATAAACCACTTTGTCATCTTGTGCAACTAGTGTTCTCTGGAATACACTTTGGGACACACTGCATTGCTAAGTCGCAACTTTCCTAGCCTCTGCTGGAGCTTCTGGCCTTGACAGAGCAGTGGTGAACTTCCCTCACACCAGGAGCAACTGGAAAACAAGACAAAATATATGGAACAACAGTTTTCAGATATTAGGCAACCAGCAGCTCAGGACTGCAATCCTTGAGAAGAAAAACAAAACAAGGTGAGCCCCACGACTGCCCAAGTGCGTGTCCAAAGTCAGGTGTGGCTGTTTCCTCAGTCCCAGGACCTGATCTCAGGATGGGGCTGATTTATCATTTTAACATGCGGCTCATGGCTTTCATGGAAAGTGAGACTATAAGGGCCAGAGTGGAGATGGCAGGAGGCTGGAGATGAGGTCACAGCTGTGCCCATCTGAGCAGAGCCTGGGGTGAGACACCGTCTGTGCTGCGGGTCTGTACTTCATGCTGTAAGTCACTGGGTCCCAAGGTTTATTTGACCCTCCAGAACACCAGGGGGTCCTCGACTAATTCTGGCATGAGATGACAGGTACAGATGAGGTCGTGCAGGGTTTGACTCTCCTGAACCCCCATGACGCTGGAATTCTCCTGATCCCATCACCTGAGAACAAAACTGTTGCTCACTCTTGCCCCTGAGAGATCAAGCTTTAATCATGGCCTCCCTTGCTCACACATTCTCCGTGGTTCCACGCTGGCCTTGTGAGAAAATTCCTGCACCCAGCCTGACATTCAAAGACCCTGCCCTAACCAGCTCCCGCCTACTTCTCTCTATATTTGATAAATATTTCCACCTAGAAGGCCTTTTACCCCTTTCTTCACCTAGCCAAGTCCCATTCACACTTCAGAACTCAGCTCAGATCAGATGAGGTGGTTCATGCCTGCACTCTGAGAGGCCAAGACAGGAGGATTACTTGAACCCAGGAGTGTGAGACCAGCCTGAAAAACATGGTATAATCCAATCTCTACCAAAAAAATTACAAACATTAGCTGTGTGTGGTTACATGTGTCTGTAGTCCCAGGCTGAAGCAGGAGGATCAGTTGAGCATGGGAGGCCAAAGCTGCAGTGAGCTGTGATTATGCTACTACACTCCAGACTGAGCTACAGAGAAAAAAAAACTCAGCTCTAAAACACCCATTCCTCCAGGAAGCCCTCCCTGCCATTTCTCTGGAACAGTCCCCATCCTTCCCCTCTAGTTCTGACCCCATGGAGCTGGCAGTAGATATAGCCAGCTTTGTCTCCCCTGAACTAGATAGCCCTCTAGATCAGGCCTAGGAGTGGACAGTAAAATTTGGAGAGTGCAACAGGTCAAGAGAGACGTGACTGACTCCCTCCCCTTTGGCTTCCCTTGACAACTTCCTCTCAGAGTACCCCACCTGACAACCTACCCAGAAATGCACAGGCTTGCAAATCCAGCCACTCACCATCTCTCTTGGACTCAAGTGTGAAGGGCCAGCCAAGGAATCCAGATGTGGAAGCCCTAGGTGTTCATGTGTATTTGCAGTCATGTGAAAATCTCACACAATCTCCAGGCAGACCCTGGAGGCCCATTCTGCAGATGTTGATGAGGTTGGTATTTCTGGGGAGGTGTCAGCAAAAGCTGAATGTGCCAGGCCTGAGGCAAAAGGCCAAGGTTTAGGGAGGCATCTTCTATACACGCACCTGCCCTCTTGCCTTGCCCAGCCAGAAAGCAGAGAGCCCTGCACAGAGGCAGATGGATGAATTCATTGACCTGAGGATAGAGCAGAGAAGAAAGGAAAGGAGAAATCCAAAAGGACTTCTAAAGGAGAGAACCATGTAGATGGGTTAGATGCAGAGGCTGGATAGGGGTCTGAGCAGATGAGTAGTGGACTGGGCATTTGAAACTGAGAGTCTTGTACCTCCCTACCCCTTTCTTTGAACCCTCATACTTGAGCATGTATCAACTTGTGCTAACCACTGAGCTAAGCTGACCTCCAAATAATTAGAAAGTTTAAGTAAACAAACACCCACAGAAGATGAGAAAGGTGACTGAGGACTTACCTTTACAAAGGCAAGGTAGTTTGAGGCTGCAAAGAGCTATGGGCAACTGTGCTCCAGCCTGGGAGACAGAATGAGACTCTATCTGTAAAAAAAAAAAAAAAAAAAATTATAAATTAATCTCAATATTTTCAAAGGCAGATGGTTTTACAGTTGTTTTATCAAAACTCAAAGATCAGGAAAGTCCAAATTATTTCAACAAAGTCAGGCCTTTTAAATAGATGGTAGATGCCAAGTCATTTTTATAAAACTTCTTTATATCAAAACCTAAGTCCAAAAAGAGAAAAGTATTGACCAGGCTAGGGTTGTGTTAGGCAGGGATTTCAAGGAAGTCCTCTCTGAGGAAGTGGCATTTGAGCTGAGGCCTGAAGCACCAGAAAGAGGCAGTCAAGACAGGAAGAGGCAGGAATGGGAAGGTCTGGGGAAAGACTGGTCTGGTAGAGGGAACTGCAAAGGCCAAGGCCCAGAGGTGATCAGGAGTTTGGCATTTGGAAGAAGAAAAATGTGTGACTGGACAGGGTGAGCGAGTGTGCAGAGGAGGACTTGGTGATAGAGTCTGCACTGGTCAGGCCACCTAGGTCTTGGAGCCCACAGTGAGAAGCATAGGCTTGACTCTAAGGGCAAAGGAGTGCCGTGGAGAGTTTGGGGACAGGGGAAAGTTGGCATTTAATGTTATAGCTTTTACAGTTTTGTTTTCTTAGAAACAGGATCTCAATCTGTTACCCAGACTGGAGTGGAGCTTGAAATATTTTCCAATTTATTGTTGTGTGTGTGTGTGTGTGTGTGTGTGTGTGTGTGTGTGTGTGTGATATCTAATGATTTAGAGGTGGGTTGTTAAATTTTCACGTTTTCAGATGCCCAAAATTTCTTTCTGTTGTTAATTTCTAATTCTGTTTCTAACGTATTTGTTTTCCCTATCTCTCCTGTCTTCTGAGCCTGTTTATCCATTGACTATCATTTTTTAAATAAACTTATTTCAACGTGGCATTTACAATCCTATTTTAATTCTTTGTTCTATTTCTGACGTGTTTTTCAGTGGTTGTTCCAGGGACTATGATGTGCTTTTGAATGTTTTCAAGGAATGAAGGAAGAAGTGATGAACTTCTTGCCCGGCTGGGGCTCTCGACCACTGGCATGAGGCGGTGGATGGAGGGCACCAGGCATAACATCAACAGCTGTGAGTCAGGGCCTGGGGCACCCTCCCACTCTACCTCTCTGGAGCCTCGCAGCCAGCACCCCTAGTGACCCATGTGCCCCGGCCAGGCAGGACATCAGCTCTGTGGCGGCCGCAGACCTCACCTGGGCAGGCCCTGAGTGCATGTGGACCGCTGGGTGCCCACGCCCCTCGAGGCAATCAGCGGGCTGGATCCCCACCGTGGCCCTGTGAAATGGATGATGTCTAGGCGACGAAGCTACACACGATTTTTTATTTTGGAGCGGAAAAAAAGAAAAAAAGAAACAGAAATGAAAGATTGAAAATGTTTGGGCTCTCCTTCCTTTGCTCTTTCTTGCTCGCCCTCTGGGGTGGGGCGCTCAACGAGCTACAGGAGGTGGCTGGAAATCCCCCACATCACCCCTAGGTCCCCAGGAGAGGTCAGCACTGCCCCTCCTGTGGGTGTCACAGAGACTGATGCGGGGCCCCCTACCCCAGAAAGGGGTGGGCCTGGGTCCAGTCCACAAGGCCCTTTGAGGGCGCTGACCCAAGATGGAGTTGAGGTGGGGGTAGCGCTGGACCCCAGGGCCCCTGCCTGTCTCCTGGGGAGCGGGTAACCCACGCAGCCGCGGTGAGGCCCCCGGGCTCCCACAGGACGGATGCAGACGGTGAGGCCGAGGACGCCCAGCTGCCCTCGAGACTGTGTCTCCAGCCCGCAGCTTTCCGTGGTTCTCTGGGTCCCCTCTGCAGAGGGTCAAGGGAGCCCACCGTGGATCCTGAGGCGCCGAGCTTGAGGGACCCCAGAGCTCCGGCCAGGCCGCTTCCTTCGAGAGGTCCAGAGGAAGCAGGGGCAGATCCTGGGCGCTCCCCAGGCAAAGGAAGCTGATCTCGGGGCTGGAGTCACAAGGCTCCACTCCTGCCACCTCCGGGCCCTACAGCCAGGGAGGATGAGAAACCGGGGGCCTTTAGTTCACCCCTGGGGCTGGACAGAGGCTCAGCCTGTGCCACAACCCGAAGCGGTTCTTGCCAGTCCGAGCCGCGGCCCCTTTAAGAGGGGGTGGTGCTTCAGCTTGAGGAGAGGGACGTGGCCAGCGTGCGCGCCCTACGGAAGCCGGACTGCACTTCTTGCGAGGAGCAGGCAGGAGAGAGCGTGAGCTGCCGCGCGGTCTCAGGCAGCAGGAGCCGCGGCGCGGTCGGAAGCGGCAGGAGCTGCGGACCGGTAGGAGGTAGCAGGAGGAGCGGCGCGGTTAAGGCGAGCTTCTTCGGAGAAGCCATGGTGGCTTCCACTGATGGTGGAGGAGGAGGCAGGTCTCTGCAGTAAGTGGCCGGGACTTGTACCCCACTGGGAACCCTCCACGCCTCCCTACTCTTTCTCCGCCACTCCCTGTTTTGCAGCCCTGACTTCTTTGTGGGCATTTGGGCCCCAGTCGTCCGTGTGGGGGCGGTTGTGGGGTCCTGGCCGTGGCAGCGTCTGCAACCCTGCCGGGAAGGCTATGCCTGTGTCCGACCCGCATCCAGCATCTAGCAGGAGGCCCTGAGCCCGTGGTGAAGCCCGGAACCTGGGCCCCTCTGAGCTGGGGTATCCTAATTTTCATTTCCACGCACAGTGTGTGAATTCCCCTTTTTCTAAAACCACGCCCGCATTTCTTTTTTTTTTGGAGACTGAGTCTCGCTCTGTCGCCCAGGCTGGAGTGCAGTGGCACAATCTCGGCTCACTGCAACCTCCACCTTCTGGGTTCAAGCAATTCTTCTGCCTCAGCTTCCTGAGTAGCTGGGACTACAGGCGCCCACTACGACGACACCAGGCTGATTTTTGTATTTTTAGTAGAGATGGGGTTTCACCATATTGATAAGGCTGGTTTCAAACTCCTGACCTCAGGTAATCCACCCAATTAGGCCTCCCAAAGTGCTGGGAATACAGGCGGGAGCCACCGTGCCTGGCTTCTCTATTTTTAAAAAATTTTCCAGGAATATTCAATAACTGTGAGATTATCTGCGTGTGGTTTTGAATTATAGTTTTCTAATGAATAGTTCATTTTGAGGACCTTATCTCTTATCTGTTCGATTTTATGTCTGCAGAATTGTCTGTTCAGGTCCTAGACTGGATTCTTTTGCTACTTTGTAATGGTTTTTCGTGTACAGGTTAGATGACAACTCCTCGTGAATTACATGATTGCCTGAAAGTCTTGCCTAATCTATCGGATTTCTTTTTTTTGAATTTGTAAAGTAGTTTTCTTTGCTGTGCAAAAACTTTTCAGGTTTGTGTAGTCCCACTTGGCAGTGTAATTTGGTATTGAGGATGGTGGGTCCTCACTTTGTATTTCTCAGGATTCCTTTAGACATTCATTGCTTTTGTGGTTCCCTGTAATTTTTAGCAATATGTATTTGTTTCTGTTAACTTTTTTTTCACAACATAAAGGTCCATAATTAGGGGTACATTTTCATGCATATAGATTGATTAATGATCAAATTAGGGTACTTAGGATCTCTATTCTCTCATACAGGTATCATTTTTGTGTGGAGAGAACATTCAAAATTCTCCCTTGTTGCTCTTCTGAAAAATATAGTATTGTTAACTCCAGTCACCAGACTGAGGAGGAGAACACTCAGATTTAGTCCTTTTATGTTAGGATAACTTGGTTTCCATAACTAATCCCCATTCCCCCTCCATCTCTCAGACTCTAGTTACCAATATTTTGCTTTCTACTTAAAATAAATGTCTTAAGATTTCACAGGCGTAGTATGCAGTGTGTGTCTTTCTGGGCCTACTTCATTACATTTAACATAATGTTTTCCAGATTCGTCTGGGTTGCTCTAAATGATGCTGTTTCATTATTTTGATGGCCAAGGAATATTCCTGAATGTATACGAGAGTTTCTTGGTCTCTATATCTGTGGAAGAACAGGTAGGTTGAATGTATACCCAGTAGTGGGACTGCTAGATGGCATGGTATTTCTTTTTGTGTTTTATTCTTTGCAGGATTCCCAGCTTTTTTTTATAGTGTTAATACGAATTTATGTTTCCACAAACAGTTCCCTTTTCTGGAAACTCATACCAGAAGTTGTCTTTTTAAATATTTTAATATCTTTGTAATGTTCATTCTAGTTGGAATGAGATAAGATCTGAGTGTGGTTTTGATATACATTTTTCTCATGAGTAGTAATATTAACCACGATTTTGTAATCATTGGGTCAGTTTCCTGACTTTGCACAAATATCTATTCAGGTTATTGCCCCCAATTTTGGTCTGGTTATTTTTCTGTTTAGTTTTTTGCCAGCTGATAGTGTTACTGGCTTGTGCCTTTCCAAAAATAACCCCTTATCCACTGTGTGTGTGTGCCCAAATTTTAAAATAATTTTTAGTATGCTTTTTCATTGTGTTCATTGTTTTCCTTTGCTGGGCACAAACTTCAGATTCACATGGTCCCACATTTGCATAATTTTTTGGTTAGCTGTGCTGTTGGTTACTAATCAAGAAAAAAAAAAAATCACTACCAAGGCAGTCCATTGTCCATGATTTTTTCCCTTGTATTTTTGTTACTTTTTGTAAACCATGAGCATACATCCAAGTTGCCCTAAATACATCTATACCTGAGGTTGTCTTTGTAGGCTCTTTATGGTTGCAAGTTTTATGTAGAATCTTTTAATCTTTTTGAGTTGATTATTGCACAATTAATACCATAAGAGTCCTGTATTATTCTTTAGCATGTGGATCTCTAGTTTTCAAAACTTCCCCATTGTGTCATTTTGGTGGTGTTTTGAAAAATGTTCACTCTGTATAAATTTGTGTTTAATATTGTGTACACAATGTTATTTGTGTTTAGTATTGTGCCCTCATTTTGCTAGCTGGTCTGTGTTTCTCTGTGTATGCTGGCAACACATGGGTTGGTTAACTGGGGATTTTTATTTAATTAGAACTCAGGGAATGTGATGCATCCCACATGGTTTGTATTTCTCAGGATAGCTTTGGAAATTCAGGGTATTTCACATTTCTGCATAAATTTTAGCATTGTTTCTTCATATTTCTTAAAACACTATTTGCCGTACGTTAAATTTATGTAATTAGAAGGTACTAGGAAGATTTTGATACATGTATATGTTGATTAATGATCAAATCTGGTTATTTAGCATCTCTTCACCTCATATATATATATATAGAGAGAGAGAGAGATGGAGTCTTGCTCTGTCACCAGACTGGAGTGCTGTGGCGCAATCTTGGCTCACTGCAACCTCCGCCTCTTGCGTTCAAGCAATTCTTCTGCCCCAGCCTCCCGAATAGCTGGGACCACAGACATGTACCACCATGCCTGGCTATTTTTTGTATTTTTAGTAGAGACGAGGTTTCACCGTGTTAGCCAGGATGGCCTCAATCTCTTGACCTCATGATCCACCCACCTCAGCCTCCCAAAGTGCTGGGATTACAGGCGTGAGGCACCACACCCGGCCCTCATGTATATATTTTTTGTATGATAATAACATTCAGAATCTTTCCTTCCAGCTACTTTGAAACATATGATACATTTGTGTTTAGACTAGTTACCCTGCTGTAGAATAGAAGACCAGAATTGATTTACTCTCATCTGAGAGTAACTTTGTACTCATTACTGATTCCTTCCAAGATCCCCTCCATCTCCCCAGCAGTCTCTAGTAATGCCTATTGAACTTTCTACTTCTAGAAGGTAAGGTTTTTTTCAGTCTACATGCTTGAGATATGTGACATGGGCCTTTCTCTACCAGGCTCATTCATTGGACTCGATGTTCTCCAGGTTTCTTCATATGGCTGCAGATGGCAGGATTTTCCAAAGCTTTATGGCTGGAACATGCTCCATGGTGTACCTATACAGCAGTTTCTTCATCCCCACAGCTGTATGGACAGGTAGGTTGGTTCTGTACCTTGACCACAGTTACAAGTGCTTCAGTACCCATGGAAAGGCAGATAGCTCTCTTCAAATTAGGGATTTCTACTGCTTTAAATGTGGTGGGGCTGCTAGCTGACATGGTAGTTGTACTGTGAATTTTTTCAGGAACATCTAGCTGTTTTTCATAGCTTGTATACTAATTTACAACCCCACCAATAGTATTTAAGAGGTTACCCTTCTGTAAGTCTACATTGGCTGGCGCCTTCAAAAATTTATGTTTTGTTTTTGGTAGTATTCATTCTGAGTGGAATGAGGCAGAATCTTAGTGTGGTTTTCATGGACATTTTTGTGAGGATTAGTGATGTCGAGACAGTTACTTGAGAAATCCCCACGTTGTTTACC